CACTTGGCAGAGTAAAAGGTATCATCTAAGAGCTAGCAATATGCTTGGAAAGTCTCCTAGCTATCACCTTACAAGTAGCCATCAGTGTCCTCCACACAAAAGTTTCCACACTCGCATTTTCTCCCCACTGGTGGGGAGGTGGAGCCTTTACACTTGGAGAAATAAGCTTAGTTTGGCCATTTCATTAAATTGTGGTCTTAAATAGAAATATGTGGTAATTATACATGATTATGGACATTTTGTGCCTCACGGAAAACATAGCAACACACTGCTTTATATCCATAATTACAATTATATAATTAAATTCTTTTACAAACCAGTGCACAATTCCTTCTCTCTCAAGAACATTGTTTGTTACTAATACCTTGGTGTGCCTTTTAAAGACATCAGAACCTTGACTGCAGTAGAGAATCCTGTGGAATTTTTTAACCCCAAGGGATACTTCTGCACCTTTGGTAGGCTCCTCAGCAGCATGTCTGCCACTATTTGTAGAAAATATTTGCATGCACTGAGATTAGCACATGTCGGCTCTATGCAGTCTTTGTTCTCCTCTGTCTTTTTTGTGAACTATGTAGTCCTTGGTGACAGTGGTCAAAAGAAGGGACATCCTAGTTGTGTTCTGATTGCTGACCCGTATGCTCCATCTGCCATGGAACACTTGCCAGTGCATGATCTTGAAATGGCGTAACCATGAGTCACTTCCAACTCTGAATGACAATGCAGTGTCTGGTGTCTACTCCCGTATATGAGTAGAAATGACACACTTTCCCTAAAGGTAGAAAGCAGGAAAATGGCAGTTGCCCAGTGGCACCTGCCAAAAACATATAAACATTAATAATTGCCCATTATCTAATTCTCAGGATAAGCTGAAGCAAAAATACAACACACGCTAAACCAGCCCAATCAATCTGGGCATTAAAACCCTACAAGCAAGTGTTATCTGCATGTATTGCCCATTCTATCAACCCTTATAAACCATGTTGCCCTTAGTGGATTTGCTGGGTTTATGGATGGAGCTGAATTAGTTTACATCACCTGGGCTGAAGAGACATCTGCCCTAAGATGGAAATTTTTATACCAATGAATTATTATCTACAATATAAGATACATGGCATATGTTGGTCCTGGCTATAAAAATAGCTGATCTTGATTGGTGACAAGGAAGCAACATAGACTCACTATGATCAGAATGAAGCTTCGCAAAGTTACTTTTTTTGATAATAACTCCTGTCCACTGCCCCCCCCCCCCAATTCTGCATAGTCTATGGCAATATTGGCTTGTCAGGGTGGTTGGGTTCTGGGAATGGTAGTATGAAAGAGTTACTATTTCACGCTCTGAATCAGAAAAGCCAATAAATTCACAATTTAAATCCCTGCACACATACTGCCAAATTACCCACTTTTCATAACATTTAGGATTCTGTGTGTTGCATTCTTATTCATTTTAAGTCACAGGAAGCAAATGATCCTTTTCTAAGGATAGAGAGGATATTTGCTAATTTTCTTATCCTCTATGAGGAATTTTAAAGTCATGCAAAACTCCTTGCTTCTAGCTAAGTGTGAAAAATAATCTCCTTCTCCCTGTTGGCAACTGTAATTTGTGTAAAATGTCTATAGTGTCCTTTTACACATACACATTTAAAACACCCTCCCCCTCGAAGTGCATTTCCATAGTTGAGGCTATAGCAGATCATGTCACACTTGGATTTAATTAGTCATGGGCACTCTCTCATGAAAGTTTTAGAAGTGACAGGTTCATCTAATACTTTGTGCAACAGAACACTCATGTCGAACCAAGTCACCTTCAGCTCTCCTGACAGGGTGCTTATTTAAACCATGGGAAAAGCAGACATAGTTATTAAAAACAAGAACAAGGAATATCAGGCTGAGACATGTACACTCAGCCATTACTGTACCTGCCTCACAGTACTCCATTGGGGATAAGACAAACAAGAAGATCCTCTAATTAGTGGGAGGCAAAATGTGGTCAAAACATTCACCAGTTTGTTTGTTTGTTCTTCATAAAGCTTGTGGGGGCCGTTTAGCAGTTATAGAATCTCCTCTATTTGAAGTTTAACAGTGAAAACTTGGGCAGGCACCTGCTTCGGCTAATTTAGTTATAGGGTATTTTGCCTAATCTGACTGTGTGGGTGGACTTGGCCTGTATCTGATTGTATTTTATCTTTTCCTCTCCTCTGGTACTACTGCCTGGTGTATTCAGAGGGATAGATGATTTCAGAACTTGGAAACTACCTTTTTGGATTACATTTCCCATAATTCCTCAGAATTTATGGCCATTGGGGAGCTATCATCCAAAATAGTAATGTTTTCAAGCTCTGTATTCGTGAAGGCTTTCACGGCCGGGATCTGGCACAGGTTGCTGTCCTCTGAAGATGCCGGCCACAGAGACTGGCGAAACGTTAGGAAGAACAACCTTCAGAACACAGCCAAAGAGCCCGAAAAACCCACAACAACCATTTTCAAGCTCTGGCTGATTTCTACAATACAAGTATGGTGCTGCTGTGTAGAAATATGTAGGGCCCAGCTGAGGCATGATGTAGGGACATGTCACTGGGCTGTGTGGGCCATTATGAGCATTACCTTGTCTGCATCAGGGGAACTACACCACTCAACAACCGTCCCTGGTTAAAGCTTAGCAACGGGGCATGAGTAACACACATTTCTCTGGTTTGCTTGTTCATGTGACTGCCATAGAACTCTTGCCTCCATGCATGATTGGCTTAATGCAAAAGCATTGATTATCGGCTTCCCAAATGGTTACATGTGTTATTGCCCCCCAAGCATCAAGGTATGTATTGCTGCATGTTTCGTTCTCTCTCTATCTCATCCCCGCTCCCAAATTTAGGGCAGGGATAGGCAACTTTAGTGGTTGATTTTCTGCACTGGAACCTTCCGCAGTGCACAGAGCACTCCAAATTCCAGTTTGGGTCACTGGTACAAGGTCTCCCTTGTTCATCTATTAAATAATAGATTATTCTATTAAATAATAGATGAACTGCTGCTCAAGGAGGCTTTTTACTTAAAAAAAAGCAGGGGAGCTAGCAGAGAACCAGGAGGCCACAAAACAGCCTTGGGGCTGAATACAGCTCTAAGGCCTCAATTTGCCCACCTTGGCTTAGAGAAATGTGCTTATAGTGGTTTAGCTCCCTTTTCACTAGGTGTTGGTCTGCTCTAAATTCATTGTCCTGTGCATGGTGGTAGTTTCAGTCCCTGGAATTAGGCAGCCCATGTGTCTTTCCAGCTTAAAAAAAAAACACAGAGAACTAATATTCCCCTGGTTCACCCCATGCTCCCACTGCAAACAGTAGAACTGCTTCTCCGTTTCTGATATCTTCAAGTGAAGAAAACAGAAACAAAACCATTTGCTGAGCTTGATTTTAAAAAAGAGAAAATATATATGTTGAGTATCAGAAAAGTCACAGCGCTATCTTTTATGTTTACAGCAACAAGGAGTTAACGTTTGCTATCTCTGCTAAATGGGGATGTTTGTGAATACCTTTTCCAAAGGAGAATACAGGACATTTTTAAAAGCAAGTATAATAACATGAGCATTTTTAATAATCAGCCAGCCAGCCAGCCAATAATTCCGATCCACCCACCCCATAAGGAAGAATACTGGCCCCAGCTAGGTCTGGCATGCTCCTTCCAGCCTTGGGACTAATATCAGGTCTGCCTGGTGCTGACTCCATTCCTTGCTGCTCTCTGGATCGTCATCTGGGCCCTGTGGAGCTGCAGGGCCCTTGACTTTGGCCATGTAACTGTATCTTAATCACGCAGTCCTAAATTCAGTGTGCATATGCATCCATTTAGGAAGTCAAGTATCTTTGACATCATTCAACCTATGAGATGAATTTTACCATGCCCCATCTTCTCCAGATTTTGGACCTGGTACAGCACAGGCCTTTATGAAATGCCTTCATCCCACTAGGCAAGAGGATACCTGCAGGGACTGTTTCCACTAAAGATGAGAAAGTGTGTGTATGTTCAATTTTCATCACAGTAAGACTTTTTTTTTCTTAAAAAAACTAAAAAAAAATCCTGAAATTCTTTCCAGCTTAAGCAGAAAAGGCCAATATCTTTCTCAAGAAATATGGAGCAAAAGGGACATTGTATAAACATCCCTCCCATTCTGGCTCCCTTTCTTACACTGATAACAATACTAGTTGTGCAGCCATTAGCATGATGGGGAGCTTTCCTGATTAGAAGGAGATGCATATATGATTGCCCTTTTATCCTACTTTTCTGCCATACCATTTTGTTTGAATAAATTTGCAAATTTAGTAGATTTCACACAAAAACAAATGGAAATCCAAATTTTGCCTTCTTGCACCAACCAAACTTAACAGATAGTGCTTTTCTAGAGTGGAGCAGATTGTAGTATATCTGTCCACAAGTGTTACAGATGATAAAAGATGTGGAGTCTGTTAGGGTAGTGGTCGCCAACCTTGGGCCTCCAGATGTTTTTGGACTTCAACTCCCAGAAATCCTGGCCAGCAGAGGTGGTGGTAAAGGCTTCTGGGAGTTGTAGTCCAAGAACATCTGGAGGCCCAAAGTTGGTGACCACTATGTTAGGGGGAGAAAATAAAGTCGCAATCTCACTTCAGCACTATCTTCGCTGGATAGCAGTTTAGCCTACACTTTTAAGAGTTAAAGCCTCAAGAAATCTGACAATTTCAGATTGGTTAAATTTCTGAGTACATACTTCACCATGCTACCAATCCCACAATGCTGCAGGATAGCACTATGGCAGTTAAATGAATATCATACTGGTTTAACTGTAGATATACTCTCATTTCCCTTTTGGAAGGAAGGAAGGAAGGAAGGAAGGAAGGAAGGAAGGAAGGAAGGAAGGAAGGAAGGAAGGAAGGAAAGGGATTCCATTGTGTGCATAAGCTTTGGCAAAATACACACTGAAACTGCTTGTCAGAAACTTCAGTGATTAACAGGCAGATTAAATGTAATAAGTCTTCACTTAGATATACAGGATGCAAAAGAAATTTTATTAAGCATGAGGAACATACAACAGGGTGCTAAACAGAGAAGCAGCTAAGGAGCCATCAGGAATTGGTTCTCAAGAAGCTACCACAAGTGATTTTTGGAAAGCAAACATTTTCATTGATTGATTAAAGCAATAGTTGATCTCACTGGTGCCTCTTTCATTTCTGCTTGAAGACATGAGTCCTGTTCACTACTTCTTGCTTTCACTCACTTTGTCTACAGGAAAACAAGGAAGAAAGGGAGACTGAGTCAAGTGAGACATCTTGAAACAGGTTGTAGTGCCCTAGGGCTTCCCCCAGCTGCAAAAGGAAGGCTTAAAATGCAGCCAGACTCCCTCACTGGCTCTCCTCTGCCCTCTTTGCTTTGATGTCAGTAACAGAGGGAAGAGGATAAGAAACACCCCAGCAACTCCTCTTTCTATTTCTGTATCTACACAACACAATTATACCAACTTGATACCACTTTAACATGCATCACACGGGATTCTGGGATTTGTTGTTTGGTCATGTATGGAGAATCTTCTGCTATAGTTCGAGAGATTACATTTGGATTTTCTGGAAGAGTATTCTAACCTCAAAGAATTCAAATCTCAGAGATTTATATGATGGAGCCGTGACAGTGGTATAAAATTGCTGTAACTTTGTAGTGTAGACTCACCACCTGGCTTTCCAAAACAGGCCAAGGCCCTCAACTGTTTTTTTTTCTTCCCCACCCAACAGAAACCCAAGCAAAATACCCCCACAATCATTCAAGCTCAGATTGTTTGTTTACTACACCTCGATCTTCTCCTGAGAAATTCAAAGGTGCACATATAAGGGATCCCATGTGGTCGCCCATCCAAGCATTAGCCACACCTGGAATTGCTTAGCTTTAGCAAGGCAACCACCTCATGAGTTCTCAAGAGGCAACGAGGTCCTCCTTTGAATAATGGAGACTTACCTTTAGCTTTAGTTCCTGCGTCAGTTCCTGACAAGCTGCAGGTGAGAGAAAGAAAAGTGGGGGATTACTATAAACATAAAATAAACAAGCTTTGACTTTTCTTTTCTGTCTTTATTTAAAACTCAACAATCTGGACTGGTGTTCTAACAGAAGTAAAGCAGAAGCTGCACCTTGCTAGGTTTTCTTTTACTTCAGGGGTAATACATATGTGACCCTCAATCTTCTTTTCCTGTAAGTGTTTTGCTGAAACAAATTTAAAAGATGAATGCCTCAGGAAGTGGTGGTAACAACTACGACTATGATTACGACTAGGACTATTTCATCTTTTTAAAAAAATGTTATTCTCATAACTTAACAAGTAGGTTCCTTTTGTGGTGCACCTGGAATGTTTTGGTTGCTGTTATCATTACGAGTTGTGATATCAGATCACATAGGGTAGGCGAGGAATATCATGTGTTTCAAGTTGGAACTGAGTTTCCAGCCCATTATTACTGAAGCAAGGGCAAGGTAGGTGGGGGGAAAGTGTGCTGGGCACCACAGGCTGGCAGCTCGTGGAATGCAGGTGTTGTTGCTTTTAGAGCAACTAGAACAATCATATCAATTACCAACAAGAAATTGAAAAGGAAATATGTTCTTTTTCTAAACTGCAATTATAACTGTAATGAACCATTGGAAGTATGTTGCTATGTGCACTCAGGTCACTTCTGACTAGTGGTGATCCTATGGAGGTGTGGGCTTCCAAAGGCCCTATCATTCACAGCTCCTGCTCTTGCAGACTCAAGGCCATGGATTCCTTTATTGAGTCAATCCATTTCATATTTGGGTTCCCTCTTTCCCTGCTGCCTGAACTTTTTCTCAGCATTAACTGTAATTAACTACTTGGGGACCTTTGAAACTGTAAATAAATTACCTCCAATTGCTTAAAATGTTTTTGTTACAGTTGTTGGAAAGATACAATATGTTTTAAAATAGTGGCTAGAATCTGGATGGCTTGTTTGATCATATAAAAAGGCAATATAAGGGCATTTCTCCCCCTTTAGCAAACTCTTCTTAGTGCAAATAGGCACACATTGTCATGTGACCAGTCATATGATCGATCAACTGAAACAAACATACAAGAGGGAAAGTAATGCTGATGTGTTGCTATGTGCACTCTGACTAGTGGTGATTCTATGGAGGTGTGGTTTTCCAAAGGCCCTATCATTCACAGCTCCAGCTCAAGGCCATGGGTTCCTTTATTGCAGGCTTGTCCAACCTGCGGCCGTATGTTGCTATGTGCACTCAGGTCACTTCTGACTAGTGGTGATCCTATGGAGGTGTGGGCTTCCAAAGGCCCTATCATTCACAGCTCCTGCTCTTGCAGACTCAAGGCCATGGATTCCTTTATTGAGTCAATCCATTTCATATTTGGGTTCCCTCTTTCCCTGCTGCCTGAACTTTTTCTCAGCATTAACTGTAATTAACTACTTGGGGACCTTTGAAACTGTAAATAAATTACCTCCAATTGCTTAAAATGTTTTTGTTACAGTTGTTGGAAAGATACAATATGTTTTAAAATAGTGGCTAGAATCTGGATGGCTTGTTTGATCATATAAAAAGGCAATATAAGGGCATTTCTCCCCCTTTAGCAAACTCTTCTTAGTGCAAATAGGCACACATTGTCATGTGACCAGTCATATGATCGATCAACTGAAACAAACATACAAGAGGGAAAGTAATGCTGTATAATCCCCCCTTACATGGATGTAAGGAGGAATTTGGGGGGCTATTCTCTAAAAAATAGTTATATGGGACTTTGCAGCACCTTTTTTATACCCTGAAGGTTCCTGAAACAGAGAAGTCAATCCATTTCGTATTTGGGTCCCCTCTTTCCCTGCTGCCTGAACCTTTTCTCAGCATTAACCATAATTAACTACTTGGGGACCTTTGGAACTGTAAATGTAATTACTTTCAATTGCTTAAAATGTTTTTATTACAGTTGTTGGAAAGATACAGTAAGTTTTAAAATAGTGCCTAAAATCCGGATGGCTTATTTGATCATATAAAAAGGCAATATAAGGGCATTTCTCCCCCTTTAGCAAACTCTTCTTAGTGCAAATAGGCACACATTGTCATATGACCAGTCATATGACCGATCAATTGAAACAAACATACAAGAGGGAAAGTAATGCTGTATAATCCCCCCTTACATGGATGTGAGGAGGAATTTGGGGGGCTATTCTCTAAAAAATAGTTATATGGGACTTTGCAGCACCGTATTTTTTATACCCTGAAGGTTCCTGAAACAGAGAGAGCTTTTAAAAGAATACTTAAAAACAAAGCAAACTGTAAGACAACTCACTGGATGTCTTGGGTATCCAAGAGCTGGCGGTAGGTCTGAATCTCCTGCTCCAGACGGGTCTTGATGTCCATCAGCATCTTATATTCATTGTTCTGTCGCTCCATGTCGGATCGGACCTCGACCAGCTGTGCTTCAATGTTGCTGATCAGAGCCTGGATCTGGCACAACTGAGCCCCATAACGATTCTCTGTGTCCGACAAGGTCCCTTCCAGGGCAGCTTTCTGGAAAGAGAAGGGCACCGATGAGAAAAGGGGCTTGAAGTTGGCCAGCAAGGTATAAAAGGAATGGATGTCAAAAACATAGAGAGGCTGCAGTAGTGGTGGTGGTGCCTAAGGGTCAAGTGGAAGCTTTTACAGTACTTATCAACCTACCGATACTAAACTGTGCTGTCATTTGGAGAACTGCCAAAACCTTAGTCTTGGCCAAAGACTGGAGGTGTTACTTCCTAAGAATATAAGGTGCTCCCAGTATTCCTCAGGCAATTCTTACAGCTTGGCTACTAACCATTTCTTGGGGGTTCGTAGCCCAAAATACTCCCCCCCCCCCAGCTTTGTTCTTATTGCTTTCAGAAGGGGTGTTAGGATAGTCACACCTAGGCTGGAATTAAGCAGCCAGAACTGAATAGGCGTGAGGTTTTGGTACTTGCTAGGTATTTGTTGCTAGATATTTGTTTTCATATGTTTCTTCATGCTAATCTTGCAAGCATTGGACCGACTACTCGTGTAAATACTATTCTTTGAGCTCTAAAATAGTTGCCTTTCCCTAATAACAACAGCACACAAATTGAGAAGGCATCCATATTTACAGGGAAAGAGCATGGAAACATATATAATGGTCTCATCTGGCCACGGTGACACATGCCTTAGTTTATGCTGCTGGATTCCTGTAACATGTTCTACGTGGAGATGCCTCTAGAAAGTGTCAGGAAACTTCAGTGGGTCCAAAATGCGGCTGCCAGATCGCTAACTGGGGTTGGTCACAGGGATCACATAACTCCTCTGTTACGACAGCTCCACTGGCTGTTGATCTATTTCTGGGCACAATTTAAAGTGCTGGTTTTAACCTATAATGCCTTAAATGGCTTGGGTCCAAGCGATTTCAGGGATCTCTTTCGTTCTTACTCAACTGTCCAAGATAATCAAGAGAGGCCTTCCTCTCAGTCCTGCTACCTGGACAAGTGTGTTTGGTGGGGACATGGGAGAAAAACCTTCTCTATTGTTGTTCCCAGACTCTGGAACTCCCTCCCACAAGAGGCTAGGCTGACCCCATCTTTCCTGTCTTTCCCCAAGGAGGCAAATACCTTTTTCTTCAAACAAGTTTTCCCTTAATGATTGGCTACCTGAATGGGGTTTTCATTGGATGGTTGTGCCTTACTGCTTTTAATGCATTTTTGGTGTTGTTTTTTTTGTTTACTGTCTTTTAGTATGCATCTGTCACTGCTTTTAATGCATTTTTGGTGTTGTTGTTTTTTGTTTGTTTACTGTCTTTTAGTATGCATCTGTTTGATCTTTTTTAGTATTTGTATGCTTCTGTTCTTGTTATACTGATGCAAGCTGCCTTAGGTCCTTTTTAAGGAGAAGTGTTATACTGATGCAAGCTGCCTTAGCTCCTTTTTAAGGAGAACAGCAGGGTAAAATATTTTAAATAAGTAAATTTTAAACTTAAAAAAATCATGTTATAAGGAAGAAATGAGGGTGAAGGAAATGTGTGTGTGTTTGGGTATGTGTGTATACATGCGACCATGTGGGGTCCTGGGTTTTACACATCACTCGGGCAGACTCCATGTAGGAGTCAACTTATTTCACAACTCCGGCATCAGGAATGCTTCACCAATCATTCACATATTACCATGCTGAGCTGAGACTGCAGTTCAATCTCCAAACTCTGGAAGCTACGTCTCAAGTCGGTGATCTCAGTCTTGTGGGTCTGAAGCTGTTCAGTATTAACGGCAACCTCCCGGTTCAGTTCTTCAGTCTGTATTTTTCAAAAGGGGAGAAAGCCCTTTGTAAGCAAGAATACAATTTCACGAGTGACACAAGCGAGTGAAAGCCTGGATTTCTTCCAGTGCCTTTCTTGTTTTCAAGTCTCCCTCTTTCTTTCTCCCATTTCCCCATCTCACCTTGGTGGTAAACCAAGCCTCCGCATCCTTCCTGTTCTTTTCAGCCAGCAGTTCATACTGGTCTCTCATATCAGCCAGGATCTTGGTAAGGTCAATGCCTGGAGCAGAGTCAACCTCCACATTCACACTGCCAGTCAGTTGCCCAGTAAGAGAACTCATTTCCTACAAAACAAAGGCATTAATTGCGGACATGTGCACATGGCAACACTTCATAGCATCCATTTTTTTTTCCGAGAGAGAGAGGTAAGCTATTTACAGCTCAGTTTGGATGAATTCTGAAATCTAGATTTCATTGGACAAATGTTTTTTGAGTCAACCAGAGGAATCTCCCCCCCCTCCAAAAAAGGGGAGTCTTGAAAATGTTATCCTCCTTTTCCTGCTTTCTTCCCATCTCCTCTTGTGCCTTATGTGGATACTGCCATTGCACAGTTTAATCACTACAATGTGGTAACCAGACTGGTGGTGGGTGCGAGCAGATACAATAGCATCACTCCAGTTCTGGCTTGCCTTCACTGGCTACACTGGGAGTCCCAAATCTGATTTAAAGTTTTGACTTTCACATACAAAGCCTTCCACAGTTTAGGCCCACGTTACTTGTTGGAGTCTCTTGCCTCAATGTCAACTGCCCAACCAACCAAGTCATTGTAGATGAGGTTCCTCTGGGTAGGGACCCCAAGAGAAGCCCACACATCTTCTAAGAGAGGCAGGGCCTTCTGTGTGGTGGCTCCTTGTGGAGTCAGCTCCCTGAAGAGCTTTGCCTGGTCCTCTCCCTGACAACATTTAAGAGACAATTGAAGACATGGCTCTTCAGGGAGGCCTTCCACTCCAACTGTAGTTGAGTTGAGGTAATCTTACATCTCCATCCAGTCATCTGTTTTCTGTATTTTTGTTCTAATGTTCTGTTTTATATATAATTTTACTAATGACCTGGTGCCCTCTGTTTTTATGTAGTTAGGTTATTTATGGTTTTATTAGATTAATTATTTGACTGTGTGTTTTATTGTGAACCACCCAGAGTGGTGCTGTGGCATTAACAGGAGCAGTATATTAAACTGAAATAAGAAATAAATTGAAATAATAATACATAGACTAGCCCGTTTACTCTGTTTATTTTTACCTCTTCATGATTCTTCTTCAGATAGGCCAGTTCCTCCTTCAGATTTTCAATCTGCATCTCCAGATCAGTTTTAGCCAAGGTCAGCTCATCCAGGACTCTGCGGAGGCCATTAATATCTGTCTCCACACTCACCCGCAGAGCTTGCTCAGTCTCAAACCTTTGAGGGGGGGGGGACAAAGTCAGAAAATGGTTATGAATGGCTAAAATCTGCTGAGTTAGTTTAATCTTTTTATTAAGCAAAATATAGTACAAAGTGTAAGGAAATCAATTTTTGGGCCCCCACATTTTGGTATAACTACAGTGGGGCCTCGCTAGACAGTTACCCCATATGACTGTTTTTTCACTAGACATTGACTTTTTGCGATCGCTATAGCGATTCGCAAAACAGTGATTCCTATGGGGGAGTTTCACTGGACAATGTTTGGTCCCTGCTTCGCAAACCGATTTTCACTAGACAACGATTTTGACAGCTCCCTCCGCACTCGCAAAACGGGCGTTTTCGGGACCTAAGCTTCCCAAAACAGCTATTGAAACAGCTGATCGGCGGTTTGCAAAGCGTCTTTCCTATGGCCGATCTTCGCTAGACAACGACTATTTTCCCCCATTGGAAAGCATTAAACAGGTTTCAATGCATTCCAATAGGGAAATGCTTTTCGCTAGACAATGATTTCGCTAAACAGCGATTTCAGTGAAATGGATTATCATTGTCTAGCGAGGCACCACTGTATTAGTTTCCACAGTTTTATACTATTGCTTTATACTAGGGATGCTGTTGGACTTATATTTCCATCAGCCTGGACAATGGTGAGGAATGATGGGAGCTGCCTCTGGAGATATGCTTTATGCTTTTATACGAAGTTCCTCAAACAAATTGTTGATTTATTTCTAAGTATGGAAAGGCTTACAATGTGCTAGGATGGCTGGTATGAGAGGAGTCAATAACAATCTGTGCTCTCATGTCAATTCTGACTTTCAGTGTTTTCAGAGAGTATGTAGCAGGTTTACTATCCACTTCTTCTGGGAAAGTCCTGGGATTGTGCAGCTTTCCCAAGGCCACATAGGCTGGCTGTACTCGCAGGAGGTACAGTGGGGAATTGAAATCCCAATGTCTAGCTCCGTAGCCAAATACCTAAACCACTGAGCTATCCATTCAGCCACCCAGTGCTTTAAAGACATTCTGGACACAGGAGATTGGCATTATGCTGTTCATATCATTAATCGAGTGGATCTATTGAATGGATCCCTCGAGATACAACCCTGCCTTCAATCTGTTACGCCTGGCAGTCTGAGAATATTTGCATGTATGCTTCTTTCTCCATTCTTTTGCCCAGGGAAATTTTCCTTACTTGGTTCTGAAGTCATCAGCAGCCAGTCTGGCATTATCAATCTGCAGGATAATTTTGTGGTTGTCAATGTTCTCATTAAGGATCTGCAAGGGAAGAAACAGTATCTACGTTGAGTCATTTGCTTCCATGCGTATCACCACATCTTTTCTTTTTTAACCGGTTTGATGGCTATGCAGACAAAAAAGGATGTATGTGTGTTCACAAGTGTGTGGATGGTGAGATGCATAGCTAAAAGGACAGATATTTAGATACATTTTTGTGGTGACACAGTCTTCAATTTTTTTCCACTATGGATCCGTGCTTCTCTTTGCACCCACTTATTCCCCCATGCCTACAGGACAGAGATAAGCAGAATTTGTGACCCTCCAGATGTATCTGAAGCCTGCTTTTACCTCGGAATGACTAATCACAACACATACTGTAAGAACAGAAGAAGATCCCTGCTGGATCAGGCCAAGGGCCCATCTAGTCCA